GAGCCGGCGGGGCAGGGCGAGGCGCGGGGGGCTGCCCGACTGCGGGGCTTTCAGCCGTGCGAGTCCACGCGTGAGTATCTCACGAACCCAAACTAGTACGTGGGACGGTTTGGGCTTCTACAGCGCGCTCCGTGGGGCCGCTGCCGTGCCCCCTCCCCTGCTCGCTCTGTGCCGGACCGACCCCTTTCTTAGCTGTGTAGGAAGAGTCGAGTTATCGCCGCTTCTCACCTTGCGGAGCAGCTGAATACTCTTCTAGAACGTTTATCTTACTGATTTAGGGCTTAATACCAACTCTTCATCCGGTAAAGTTATCACCAACCTTCTCACTGACCTCCGCACCCGGGTTCACTGGTATTTCAGTAGACAAGTGTATCTCGATGATGATGTTTCCCCTCAAAATGTGTTATGAACAACAGTGGTGGTCCATTCCCGACAGCTCTATTGTTAAATAAGTGCTCAAATTTTCCAGCAGCCTCCTTTGCATTAATTAGTTATTTTATATTCTGAAAACTAGTTCAGCCAAAGGTTGTGTTCACTATGTCTGTGTGGTTTTGTTTAATTTATTGAGGAGAATGTGGTGAACATATATGCCAAATATGCAGACACTGTGTTTTTCTAATCACAAAAATATTTTGTTCCTAAGTGTGAATTGTTAGGTCTTACTTGCTTACAGCTGAGGAACGCTCAAGTTCAAAAAGAGCAGAAGCAACTGGAAACAAAATATTATTTTTTTCCCAATTAGCACTCACAAATAAATGTATGTGAGTGGTCATAGTTAACTTGAGCTCTTTTCTTCTGGTCTGTCATTGTTTAGGAATATTCATACGCATAATTTTATATAATAAGAAATATGTGTATTTACTCGGTTTGCTGTGGGATTTTTTTGGTACTTCTTATTTCATAGTGGGAGTAATTAGAAATTATAATTCATGACAGTAAGTGTTTTAAGGTTATGCATGAGAGAAAGACAACACTGAGAGGCTGTGCAATGTGATCAGCGTTGACACTTCTCTGCTATCATTTTGTTTTGTTTGGATAAAGAGACGTGTGCTTCTAAAGTTTGGCCCATTTAAATATTTTATGGCAGCTTTTGCTGCTGCTTCTTCACAAGGGGCTTAGATGCTACTGTGACGAGAAACAGGTTAGATGTGTGAATAGTTGTGTGTAGTTCCCATTAGTCTTATAAGCAATCACTTCGAGGTTTTCTATTCAGTAAACAGCTCAGTCATTATTTTCCTTTAGTGTATAGTTCTTCAGAAATGAAAATGTACGTCACCGCTGCACACTGGGTTTGATCCACATACCGATTGTTTTTAACAAAAATGAGAAAGTTCTATATGTATCAATGAAACTAATCCTCTGACAGTATTTCCCGAGTACTTTTCCTGCCAAACTTTCCTTAAAGACTACATTAGTCTTAGCCTGTGAAGTACTGATACTTGATCAAAGGTGATGGGGATAGCGGGTGCTCAGCCTCTTTTAGCAGCGTAACCCAAATGCGTGTTCTTGCTAGGTCAGTCTTACCATCTGGGGTGGGTTTTGGACTCCGGCGAGTAATTTTACTGATACTTGCCATTAGGGTGGCTTCTTCCACAGTGAGGCCCTAAAGAAGGCCGAAGCTGGGCTTCACACTCAGGGGTGTGAATTGTTCACGCTCAAATTTGTGTGGTCGCTCTATGCATGAGATAACAGGACAAAACAAGATAATCCTTGCTGAGATTGTGTTCAGTGTGTGTAAACTTTGTATCTTAGATATAATTAACACCTGTTTTTACTGCATCTCAAGGGTCTACAGCTGAGGCTGTAAAAGTGCTCTAAGGGTTCAGGCTGGTAACAGTTGGGCCCCAGATACCGTGAATTTCTGCAACTTGACCAAATGGGGGAATACCCAAAGTCAGTCTAGGGTTTTACCCACTGACATACTTCAAAAACTCCAATGAGTTTCATGAAGATTTTAGGGACTTCTTAGAAGAACTTGGCCCTACCATAATTTCTAAGCAAATAAAATGCTTTGAAACCAGCCACAACTAAGATCGCCTCAAGAGGCTGATACAGGATGGATTCACCTGTATTTTAAGTTATTTGCATTCTGCTTTTCTCCAGTGCATAGTGCTTGCTGCTTAGTTTTTATTCTGTAGACCACATGAGAAAACATTTGTGATCTTGTGATGGAAAGCACAGTACATGAGGCCTCAGATCCATAGTTAGGTATAGTTATAATTCTATACAGGTAACTCCTTACAGTTGTAGTCCTAATTCTGTTGAATCAGTCTTCTTCTGGTAGGTCCCTTTTCCCCCATTTTTCCCTTTTGTGGAAGAGCTGCAGAAATTTACCAGAACCAGAACGAAAACAACCTCTGGGACATTGTTTATAGGTATTCTGTGGGATTATTTATGGGTATTCTCTGTGTATTTTAACATTTTCATAAGGAAGTGGTCGTTTTAGCGAGCGTGCTTAGGATCACCCTGTTACTTAAACTTAAAATTCCCAGAAGTATTGTAGTGCAGGATGCTATAGAGGCTGAAAAGTACATTTTCTGACAAAGTTTCCAGCTTTGAGAAAAATCTACTGATAACAGGAGTCTGACAGCTGCACAGTAGGGTTAGGTGTTGTTTTTGGAACTGATATTTCCAGTTGCATCTAAAATAGCAGCTGTTTTATGCAACAGCCCCGAAATTCAGTCTCAGCAGTGAAACCAGCACCTTGCGAGCCCTGGAGCAAGGACTCCAGGGAAGAGAAGAGCCCGGGGAAATGTTGTGAGGGTGTTGAGGAGACGAGCGGTGGTAAGGGAGCTCTCGACATTGTGCAGATGAACTTGATGAGCTGTGTGGTTTCCTGTGTGTTTGTCTGCAGACCTTTAACCTGCCTATGAATTTTGGGTCATGCTACTTCTCCTTGCAACAAGTATCCTGGCATGCTGTAACAGCGGGATGTGATGTAACACAGTTTCTGTGCTTCTGATGTCTCGGATATTTCCTCATGTCTCTCTGCAGGATATTACCCTCAGTGTTTACCATTGTGAAGTTCAAGTGTAAGGCATTCTTAGTTCATCTTCAAGATCTAATTTGCCAGAAGATGTGAAACTGGGAATGCCATACTCCTTGCAATGTCAGGCTTTAAGGAATCAAGAACATAGATCAGCATTTCTATAAATAAGGTATTGCTCCAAAAATTAAAATGCTTAGTTAGATTTAAGTGGACACTGTCAAGCTTTTCAGATGGCAGCATGCATCTATATTTATCTGTGGGTTCCCAAAGTGTGGGTTTTTTGTTTTTTTTTTCTTTCTTCCATTCTTGCTATCTTCTTAATTTATTAAGGGTAGCTGTTGAGAACCATACAGAGTGAGATGGGCAGGAAAAGAATTTGCCATTCTGTTATACTTGTTCATAGTCTATACTTAGTTGATATTAAAGGTTTTTTTGAAGGCTTTTGTTGTTTTTTTTTTCCCCCTTAAACAAAACACACACACAAAAAAGAAAGCAAAAGAGAAAGAGAGAGTTACTCTGGTGTGATCTTCCAATTCAAACACTGTGGACCATGGAAGATTAGGGAACAAGTCTTAGTTTTGTTGCATACCTGCATCGCTCAGGACTGTCCCAGCCTCTAGATAGCTGGTTGTCCTCAGATAAGTCTCTTTTAGCATTTCTTCTGTGAGGTATTTAACTTAAAAGAAATGTTAAAGGTTTGGGAAATAAGCTCAATGCTGAATTCCTTGATCTGTTGTTTTTCCCTGTTGTGGGCCTTGGTGGTCTTTGCACCAGAAATTCTGTCTTGCGCTGGGGAAACTTTTGCTGAGGAAAACTTCTCCCAAGGAATACTTCATTGAAACTTTTACTTTCTCACAATAGTTTGTTTGGATGCCTTTTTTTTTTTTTTAACACAAAACACTTAATTGGGATTTCTTTTTCTTTCAAATTATTCATGAGTTGCTTGCCTTGGAACAGATGATTTTCATTTTTTTTTTTCCAGTAAAACTAGATACAAATGTCAAAAGAATAGTGGAAAAAGTTGGACAATTAGATTTACAGCTTCATAACTTGGAAGTTGGTTAGCTTGCTCTTGTTTGACTAAGAAAAAATTCTGTAAGTATGTGTGCCTGCTTGAGAATAAGAGAAAAGTAAGAAAGACGCTCCTCGTTGTGTCCATTTCTCCTGTGAGAATCTAAGGAACTCACTTGGTTTCTTTGCACCTTTCTAAAGAATAATAAAAAAAGTTTGGATTGTCCATAACAGGGATGTTATTATTTCCCACCTCACTCAGATGTGAAACCTAATTACGTATTTTATTTGTAAAGTATCTGAACATGAAAAGTTTATGGTAAATGTTAAGTATAATTATTATATGGTGTCATCTGTAACTGCAATCTGACTTTTGTTTATTGATGTCGCAGCAGCAGCCTTCTATACCGCTAGGTTGCTTTTTTTTAGTT